CGCATTGCGGACATTGTCTTAACAAGTCTGAGTTTGTTCTCCCTTGTTTCCAAAGAGTGAATAAACCTCGACAAGATAAATAACAAGTATAAACTTGCTAAGTACATGATTAGCCTTGTTTAAACAATGTGTGCATTGTGATCTCGCGTCTCCTAGTCATAGAATGAATGATACGAATGATAATCATGATATGAATGATAATCTCATGCGAACAAAATTCTATGGAAAAAGCAGAATTGAGACCATAACTGAAAGAAGGAGTAATCAGAACGATGTTGAACACGTACCATATGTTTCATTACAGGAGTTTCATACAACTTGGCACCTTCTCTGCTCCATGTTATGAATAAAAATACACCAACAGAGAATAATATCCAATTTCTGACCCGCCTTCTTTGTCGAGGTGTAAGGCACAACCTCATTCTAAAACTAACAACTCATTCTAAAACTAATTTCTTGATTTGCATTTTACAAGAGCAAATCAAGAAATAAGCGACATCAAAAGAGGCAGAAATCGTAGTGGAAAATACCCACATGCAGTAGCAACATAATTATGCGGCAGAAAAGTATTTATGAAAGCAATAACAAAAATGGATATGAGAAACAGCTCGAATTACTCTATCGCTTCTTATCACCAAGGTCTTCAATCATGTCTTCGGATACCTAGAAATGGCATCTTTAACATTAACAAAAACAAAAAAGCATCTTATCACGTACCTGTGGCCATTTAGTCGGAATCATGTCAAAGATATCATCTTTCACATCACCTTGTATGACGATTTCATCAGCACCCGTGACGGAACTACCACATGCGAATTTTTGAGCAAACAGCTTCGATGCTTGTTTGAGATCAATTTCTGCAAAAGTCGATCCTAACTCTTTTCGACAAAAAACAAGTAAATTAGCATATCTTACCGAAGCCTGCTAATCCTCTAATAACAGTCACACTCTTCTTTCCACGAGGTTCTCTCTGCAGAGTGATTTTCGTTGCTGTGGCTGTCTTCTTCTTTTCAACCTATACAAATTGCTCTACACTTCGAAAAGATAACATTGACTGAAGACAAACTACCTTATTTACCTTAACTGTACCCTTGCCGCCTCTTTTTTGGTGTTTCTTCTCTTCGCCCTCTCCTTCTGGTGCAATCTCAAGACCTTCAAGTGCTTCTGGAGCATGATCTTCTGCCCATTTTCGGCATTTGTCAGTGATTCCGGAGTAGTCGCAATACTCCAAAGGCATGGAACATTCTAGGAAAAAACCGTTGTACATCTTTAGCACTCTTCGTTTGCACATTTCATCACTCCAAATCGATTGTAATGCCTCGCTGCCTGCCCTAGAAGTTTCCCGTGTCACCGACATGCCGGACTGTTGATAAAGCAACGCAGCCACGTTGGTTCCGGCACGGCGCTGGCACGCGCCGGCACATGGACAACTGTGGATCCTGCCCTAGGCAGCTCATATGATCAGGTTGACTTCCAATGGATGCTCTTTTTGAACTGTACCTGTTTAGTTTTTCTCAATTATATCAAATGCTCGATCTTTGCACTTTACTTATTAAAACAAGCGGAGCAACAAATCTTCACGAAATTCTATTTTCAATACAAACATCAAATTACAGCGTGCGTGCAATGTAAGTGTCAATTTACACGAATGAAAACTTATACTCGGTTATATATTTCTTCAGTGTGAGAATTGTGATTCGGCACAACTGAGCTAAACAGTTCCTACGCTCTTAACTAATTGCTATATTAAACTATTGAGAATCAGGAGCAGTATATGTCATCTAACACGCACTTTTACTATTACTTTTGAGCTAGCTCAGGCATCTCCCTGACGCCGAAGACAAATTTGGTACTACACAAAAACATAGCTTTCAAAATGATAGATCATTGCCAGCGGAGTATAATGTCGAAATTTGGTACTATATTTCAAGATTTACCTCCACAGTAGACCACCTTCAAAGGGTACTGCACATCTGGTTGTGGCCCTGGGGCCAGGGATACTACTGCAGTGTCGCCTGATTCACTCATTCTGAATTAATTAATTAACATGCTTCATTTGATGCATATAGATATGGCCCAATTTCTGAAGTATTTGATCTGATATACACTGCATAAAATCTAGCCAGTAGTGATAAATATTGCTTTATCTACATAAAAACTGGCTTTTTCTGACATAATGATGCACTTAACGATCTAGTCGCTAATGTCTCTAAATGCTACAAACACATTTGGAATGTTCA